TTCTGATTTTAATCGCTTAATTCTAATTTATTTTCTAAAAATTCTCACTTTTTTTCTTATAACCCGATTTTTTTTCTCAGAACTTTACCTTAATCTCATGATTCTAACTTTTTTTTCTCATAATTCTGACTTTTTTTTTCTTATAACTGATTTTTTTTCTCAGAATTTTGCCCTTATCTCAGAATTCTGACTTTGATCTCTTAATTCTAATTTTTTGTCTCATAATTCTATTTTTTTTTCTCAGAATTCTGACTTCAATCTCATAGGTCTGAATTTGTTTCTCATATTTCTGACTTTTTCTCTCATAATTCTGACATAAATCTTAAAATTCTGACTTTAATTTCTTAATTCTAACTTTTTTTCCTCATAATTCTTACTTAAATCTCAGAATTCTGACCTTTTTTCTCAGTATTCTGACTTTAACTCAGAATTTTTGCTTTTTATCTTCGGATTACAATTAAAAAAATTATATCGGATCTTTTTTTTTTTTCCCCCTATTAGTGGCCCTAATCCTCTTCCGTAGCTTCACCCCGGTTATCTTAAATTTAAAAGATGGTTTAACACGTGCTTGTCATGAAATGGTGAATTGGAATTACAGTGTGTTTATAGGTGATTTGCGTCCACTTGGGGTCGTGCTCTTACTTGACTGCAGCGGCGACTATCAGCTGGCGGTTTATTCCACATTCCCCTAAACAGTCCACTTTTATAAAAACCATGCTACGCTGTAACTTCGACTCAGTCGTATAAACCAGACTGTGCACTCTGGAGAAACCCCGAGCTCGTCTCCAGACTCTCTGGCTGTTTGAACCAAAGCGAGATATTTTTCTTCTCGCCTGCAGACCCTGCTGCATGCAGGAGCTGTTGGTGCTGCGCCAATTTACATCACATCAGTAATTCAAGAGGTGTGTCGTGGGTATAAGGACTTTGATAAGTTGTGGTATTGCGCACTTTTTCATGCACCGAGGTGGCTTTTGTTGGAAGTTTTCCTTAATAAGTCAGTCGTCTTTGGAGTTTGTTTTGAAAGTTCTGCAGAACCGCTTTGTTCACGTTGAGAGAGCCCAGTGTTTGTGCATGTAAATACTGCAAATAGCCAAATAAATAATGCACACTTCTATGTAAATCACCTCTCCTTTTTATCTCCACTTTCAATGCGGTTGTCATGTTGCTGTTCCTGCTTCCCGTACTCCACCTCAGGGACTCAGACATTAAAAAATGCATATGCAGAAATAGACATGGACACAGATCTGAAGCAGAAGCACCCACAAAACCTTCAAAGACGTGTAGAATATTTCCATGTGATAGAAAGCAGCAGCCAAATAAAACATCCAGTCTCCAGCTTGAATATTTTACTCAGTGTAAACAGTTTGTAGCTGGAACACGATGATACAGAATCTATACGGTGCTGTCAGAGGAATAAGATGATTTTTTTTCAGCACTATGAATTTTAAAACCAGCAAACAGGCGAGTGGAAACCGAACCGAGTCAAAGGTTTCAGCTGCAAAGTTTGGAAAATGTGCAGAAATGTACTTTAAAACAGGACGAGGGTTATTGAGTTAAGTGTGTTCACAACAACATATTCAAGATTGAGTCAAAAGAACTGATCTTCCATCATTACCAGACACACCTCTGAAAGAAGAGTTACTGTCATTTACATTCTTAGGTTTCATCTAATATGTCTCCTTTTCCCTAAACGATCACTGCACCGGTGTTTATGATTGGTGGTCTTCAATGTGTGTCAGTCAAAATGAAAGAAAAATCTGTAAGAATCCCCAATGATTTAATTTCTCTACCGGGTCTTTGTCTCTCTTTATTAACATCACCGAAGTTCACAACGTAAACTCAAAGATAGCGTCCGAAGATGACGTATGAGTGTCGAGAGGATCTGAGGTGAGGCTGGTTTACCCCAGAATTTCCACCGTATCCGGAACAGCTCTGATCTGGAACGGTGGCGATTTTCATCGTACGCCACTTCCTACCGGATTCATTTGTGAGGTGCATTTTGTGGCGTATTACGGACAGCAGGAATCATGAGAACTCACAAGAACCCGTGGATTCGTGTGCAACCAAGCGACAACAAGTTGTATTTAGCCACATAGACTAACCATACAAGCAGTAGATTGTGTCCTTCCAGAGGAGGAAATCTACTTCTAGACTTCTAGAATCAGCATCTCCTCATCCATGGTGTCATCGGGGTGAAATGACGTCTAATGTGAAATTTGAAATGACCTCTTTTATTTTGAAAAGAAGCCGGATGTTTTATTTTGTGTCTGTGCCCGACTTCCTTTCCAGCACGGGTTAATCTGTGCTGAATTTATCCGCCATGATCCGGCGTCCAGAAAAAGTACAACGGAAAGAAGTCGCTGTAAATTGACACGTTAACTTGAATGGTTACGACCAGCGATGATCGGTGGACACGGCCTTTTCGTAGCCATTCCGGATGCGGTGGAAATTGTCAGTTACAGAGCAGATTATTATCCACTTGCACTGACATGTAGATCAACACTCGGCACATGAATCGATATCTGACTGTATCTAAAGGAAGACAACCTCATACAGAGTCACTCAGACAGGAGAGAAATTACCAAAAGTCATCCTGAAGAGGGTTTAAATTCCTCTGTGTGAATATTTGGATAGTTTTAATCTCCTCCACTGCCGAGTTTACCCTTTCACTTCACACGGAGACAAATATTTGGGAGACTAATTAACACTCCAAGACTCTCAGAAGCTTTTCGGAGGGAGGAGGTTAGACGAACACGCGGCTCTACTTTGTTCGGCACTCAGTCTGGGTTGTTATCAGGTTGAGAATAAATCACGCCGGCGTGAACTCAGCCAAGGTGAGGCGAAGTTAGACTAAAACTTTGCTTTTAAAAACCTCACACTATCTGATCTGACGCGCCAACCCTCAGCTGTGAAAACACTCCTGCAGAAACACGCATCCCAGCCCGCAGAATCATCACACCGTCTGAAAGGAAAAGACTGAAAACAGATGAAAACAAGAAGAGGAGGAGACGCAGAAAAGCTGCGTTTGACAGTGATGAATCTCTGCACAAAGTGAGGACAGAGCAACAGATGTAATCTCAGGGAGACAAACACACACTCAGGGACCCACAAACATCACAAAGAGGCAGCTGCAGCTCCTCTGGGACTCCAGGATGAGGAGTGAACACCCCCGAGATCAGCTGTACTTCACTTTCACGTGTTCATCAGACAGATAATGACTCCTGCAGCACTCCTCCGACCTGCTGACCCAGATGTTTATGACTGTTTCATCGTTTATATGGCGTTGAAAAGCTCTGCGTCATCGGAGTATCACGCTGCGGTAATTGTGACAGCATGAATCAATAAAGCGAGAAGACTCCTGCTGTGAATAGTCCACTTCCTGTTCGATGATTGCTGATTCAATACAGACTCTTTTCAACTCAACAGCTGAATAAATGAAGGAGGAGTGATTTAAGAGCGCGGCGCCTTAAACAAACTACTTCTATTCAAGGTTACGTTCACGTGTAAACACAGACTTTTAAACACACATTTCTCTCTGTGTGTTTAGAGAAAATCTCAGAGGTGTTTTTGATTTTCTTTGTCCAAATGACGAAACAGAAACATGTCGGACCAGAACTGGTGATAATGTCGCGCCAAATGCCACAGTCTTGTCCGAATACAAGGCAAGCGCTAAAACAACTTTCGTAGACGTAGCCATCTTGTTTCAGGCCTCCGATTTTGCTTTCTTCTGACTTGGTAACATAAAACGCTGGGAACTCGGGTGTGATGTCATTTTCAGCTTCGACATCTGACTTGCGAGGTGACTCAAACGCAGCATTAGGCACTACAGGACTGATGGATCGGTCTGGGATTGGTTATCTCTGTCAGTCAACCAGAGTTACTCTACAGCAAGTTAAGTTTATTGTTATGAAAAAAATAAATACAGAGTATTGAACGTGGAAAAATAAGCTGAGAAATATCAAGTGTGGCGTGAGAATGGGTCAAATTGCGTGACAGTTACACTCAAAGCGTGACATTCAGCAGCTCTGCTCATACTAATATACCAATAAATCAAGAATACCGCTGTCAAACCATGCACTCAAAAAATATCAGTTCATCAGCAACGATTTCACCCCAGGAAACACCAAACCAGCACAGCAAAGTCAAGAACCACACAATTATACTTTTGCAAACAACAATGGAAAACAAACAGCAAGGTGTGTGTGTTAGTGTGAGTGTGTGTCTAACACAGTTAAGTTCATTTGAGCCCCTCCACAACAACTAAAGAAAGTCTGTTCAATCGGTCCACAGCAGTCCTTTGCTCACGATATTAATCCCGATATTAGTCACGATATTAACCCAAACCAAACGGTAGCACGGCGGCTCTGTCTCTCTCCTTTAAGAAACAAAAACAACACTAGGGCCCCGTTGGGGCACTGGCGGGCCCGAGCCATGTCGCACCGCCCCCAGCGCGACCGCCTCCCCCTCCTGATCGCGTCACACTCAAGGTCGAAAGATGGTGTGTGCACTTGTCTGTGGTCATTTACCGTTATAATGAATGGGAGGCGCAGTTTCTACCAAAATGCTCGCTGCAGAAAAACTCCATGTCCTATTTGAAAAAAGTCTGGACCATGAGTGAGGGCAGAAACACAGCTAGTATATATCCAAATGTCAAGTTGCTCCTCCTTTCGGTTTTGCCGAGAGAGCGATGTTTGAGCCATTGAGCAATGGGCAGGAAAAACTTGACTTTTTCGCCTGCCATGGGGGGGCGCTCTTTTGGGGAGAAAAAATTCCTTCACAAATGTGTTGATGGCTGGACATTGCATCATCCTAGAAAACTTGGAGGCCAGTGAGGACAAAAATAAAAAGTTATAAGACTTTTAAGAATATGGATATTTGGGTAATCTTTGGCGCCCCCTAGAACCTAAACCGTGGGGTGCAGCATCATGATTTGTACAACTTTTAATGGCCATGGGGTGTAGATTGGCCTGAGCAAATTTGGTGCCGGTGGAACGAAAGCTTTAGGAGGAGTTAGCGTAATTCCAATGTGTGCGGATCGGCAAAAAATGCGGAATAACCCTTTAACCGTACATTTGACAGATATGCCCGCACTGACTTTTTCGTAGATCTTATTGAGATACACGTGATTGTCAAATTATGTGTCAATATGACGAAGCGTACAGGCGTGACACTCAATAGTGTGAATTTTCACCTTAGGGGACAAGAAAAAATGGACTTTTTTCTCCTGCCATGGGGGGGCGCTCTTTTGGGGAGTAAAAATTCCTTCGCACATGTGCTGATGGCTGGACATTGCATCATCCTAGAAAACTTGGAGGCCAGTGAGGACAAAAATAAAGTTATAAGACTTTTAAAAATGTGGATATTTGGGTTATCTTTGGCGCCCCCTAGAACCTAAACCGTGGGGTGCAGCGTCATGATTTGTACAACTTTTAATGGCCATGGGGTGTAGATTGACCTGAGCAAATTTGGTGCCGGTGGAACGAAAGCCTTCGGAGGAGTTAGCGAAATTCCAATGTGTGCGGATCGGCAAAAAATGTGGAATAACCCTTTAACCGTACATTTGACGGATACGCGGACATTGACTTTTTCGTAGATCTTATTGAGATACATGTGTGTGTCAATTTTTGTGTCATTTTGCCAAAGCGTAGAGGCGTGACACTGAACAATGTGTATTTTCACCTTAGGGGACAAGAAAAAATGGACTTTTTTCTCCTGCCATGGGGGGGCACTCTTTTAGGGAGAAAAATTCCTTCACAAATGTGTTGATGGCTGGACATTGCATCATCCTAGAAAACTTTGAAGCCAGTGAGGACAAAAATGAAAAGTTATAAGACTTTTAAGAATGTGGATTTTTGGGTTATCTTTGGCGACCCCTAGAACGTAAACCGTGGGGTGCAGCATCATGATTTGTACAACTTTTAATGGCCATGGGGTGTAGATTGGCCTGAGCAAATTTGGTGCCGGTGGAACGAAAGCTTTAGGAGGAGTTAGCCACATTCCAATGTGTGCGAATCAACCAAAAATGCGAAATAGCCCTTTAACCGTACATTTTGCAGACACGTGCGCATTGACTTTTTCGTAGATCTTATTGAGATACACGTGATTATCAAATTTTGTTTCAATATGACAAAGCGTACAGGCGTGACACTCAACAATGTGTATTTTCACCTTATAGGACAAGAAAAAATGGCCTTTTTTCTCCTGCCATGGGGGGGCGCTCTTTTGGGGAGTAAAAATTCCTTCACAAATGTGTTGATGGCTGGACATTGCATCATCCTAGAAAACCTGGAGGCCAGTGAGGACAGAAATAAAAAGTTATAAGACTTGTAAGAATGTGGATTTTTGGGTTATCTTTGGCGCCCCCTACAACGTAAACCGTGGGGTGCAGCGTCATGATTTGTACAACTTTGAATGGCCATGGGGTGTAGATTGGCCTGAGCAAATTTGGTGCCGGTGGAACGAAAGCCTTCGGAGGAGTTAGCGAAATTCCAATGTGTGCGGATCGGCAAAAAATGCGAAATAGCCCTTTAAACGTACATTTGACAGATACGCCCGCACTGACTTTTTTGTAGATCTTATTGAGATACACGTGTGTGTAAAATTTTGTGTCATTTTGACAAAGCGTACAGGCGTGACACTCAATCATGTGAATTTTTCACCTTAGGGGGCGCTATGGAGCCATTTTGCATTTGATTGTTTGGGTGACTTCAGAATATCGAATTTTTCACCAGGCCCGGTCGTCCTGCCAAATTTCATGAGTTTTCACCAGTGGGAAGTGGGCCATTTTCCAGTTCAAAGGGGCAGAAAAATAATAAGAAGACTAGGGCCCCGGTGGGGCACTGTCGGGCCCGAGCCGCGTCGCGCCGCCCCCAGCGCGACCGCCTCCCCCTCCCGATCGCGTCACACTCAAGGTCCAAAGATGGTGTGCGCACTTGTCTGTGGTCATTTCCCATTATAATGAATGGGAGGCGCAGTTTCTACCAAAACGCTCGCTGCAGACAAACTACATGTCCTATTTGAAAAAAGTCTGGACCATGAGTGAGGGCACAAACACAGCTAGTATATATCCAAATGGCAAGTTGCTCCTCCTTTCGGTTTTGCAGAGAGAGCGATGCGTTTGAGCCATTGAGCGATGGGCAGGAAAAACTTGACTTTTTCTCCTGCCATGGGGGGGGCGCTCTTTTGGGGAGAAAAAATTCCTTCACAAATGTGTTGATGGCTGGACATTGCATCATCCTAGAAAACTTGGAGGCCAGTGAGGACAAAAATAAAAAGTTATAAGACTTTTAAAAATGTGGATATTTGGGTCCTGTTTGGCGCCCCCTAGAACGTAAACTGTGGGGTGCAGCGTCATGATTTGTACAACTTTGAATGGCCATGGGGTGTAGATTGACCTGAGCAAATTTGAAGCCGATGGGACAAAAGATTTAGGAGGAGTTAGCGAAATTCCAATGTGTGCGGATCGGCAAAAAATGCGAAATAACCCTTTAACCGTACATTTGACAGATACGCCCGCACTGACTTTTTTGTAGATCTTATTGAGATACATGTGTGTGTCAAATTTTGTGTCATTTTGACAAAACGTAAAGGCGTGACAGTCAACAATGTGTATTTTCGCCTTAGGAGACAAGAAAAAATGGACTTTTTTCTCCTGCCATGGGGTTGGCGCTCTTTTGGCGAGTAAAAATTCCTTCACAAATGTGTTGATGGCTGGACATTGCATCATCCTAGAGAACTTGGAGGCCAGTGAGGACAAAAATAAAAAGTTATAAGACTTTTAAGACTGTGGATTTTTGGGTTATCTTTGGCGCCCCCTAGAACGTAAACCGTGGGGTGCAGCGTCATGATTTGTACAACTTTTAATGGCCATGGGGTGTAGATTGGCCTCAGCAAATGTGGTGCCTTTGGAACGAAAGCCTTCGGAGGAGTTAGCGAAATTCCAATGTGTGCGGATCGGCAAAAAATGCGAAATAGCCCTTTCACCGTACATTTGACAGATACGCCCGCACTGACTTTTTTGTAGATCTTATTGAGATACATGTGTGTGTCAATTTTTGTGTCAATATGACAAAGCGTAAAGGCGTGACAGTCAATAGTGTGAATTTTCGCCTTAGGAGACAAGAAAAAATGGACTTTTTTCTCCTGCCATGGGGGGCGCTCTTTTGGGGAGTAAAAATTCCTTCACAAATGTGTTGATGGCTGGACATTGCATCATCCTAGAAAACTTGGAGGCCAGTGAGGACAAAAATAAAAAGTTATACGACTTTTAAGAATGTGGATTTCTGGGTTATCTTTGGCGCCCCCTAGAACGTAAACCGTGGGATGCAGCGTCATGATTTGTACAACTTTTAATGGCCATGGGGTGTAGATTGGCCTGAGCAAATTTGGTGCCGGTGGAACGAAAGCCTTCGGAGGAGTTAGCGAAATTCCAATGTGTGCGGATCGGCAAAAAATGCGAAATAGCCCTTTAACCGTACATTTGACAGATACGCCCGCACTGACTTTTTTGTAGATCTTATTGAGATACACGTGTGTGTCAAATTTTGTGTCATTTTGACAAAGCGTACAGGCGTGACACTCAATCATGTGAATTTTTCACCTTAGGGGGCGCTATGGAGCCATTTTGCATTTGATTTTTTGGGCGACTTCAGAATATCGAATTTTTCACCAGGCCCGGTCGTCCTGCCAAATTTCATGACTTTTCACCAGTGGGAAGTGGGCCATTTTCCAGTTCAAAGGGGCAGAAAAATAATAAGAAGAAGAAGAAGAAACTAGGGCCCCGGTGGGGCACTGGCGGGCCCGAGCCGTGTCGCGCCGCCCCCAGCGCGACCGCCTACCCCTCCCGATCGCGTCACACTCAAGGTCCAAAGATGGTGTGCGCACTTGTCTGTGGTCATTTACCATTATAATGAATGGGAGGCGCAGTTTCTACCAAAACGCTCACTGCAGACAAACTACATGTCCTATTTGAAAAGGTCTGGACCATGAGTGAGGGCACAAACACAGCTAGTATATATCCAAATGGCAAGTTGCTCCTCCTTTCGGTTTTGCAGAGAGAGCGATGTGTTTGAGCCATTGAGCGATGGGCAGGAAAAACTTGACTTTTTCTCCTGCCATGGGGGGGCGCTCTTTTGGGGAGTAAAAATTCCTTCACAAATGTGTTGATGGCTGGACATTGCATCATCCTAGAAAACTTGGAGGCCAGTGAGGACAAAAATAAAAAGTTATAAGACTTTTAAAAATGTGGATATTTGGGTCCTCTTTGGCGCCCCCTAGAACGTAAACTGTGGGGTGCAGCGTCATGATTTGTACAACTTTGAATGGCCATGGGGTGTAAATTGACCTGAGCAAATTTGAAGCCGATGGGACAAAAGATTTAGGAGGAGTTAGCGAAATTCCAATGTGTGCGGATCGGCAAAAAATGCGAAATAACCCTTTAACCGTACATTTGACAGATACGCCCGCACTGACTTTTTTGTAGATCTTATTGAGATACATGTGTGTGTCAAATTTTGTGTCATTTTGACAAAGCGTAAAGGCGTGACAGTCAACAATGTGTATTTTCGCCTTAGGAGACAAGAAAAAATGGACTTTTTTCTCCTGCCATGGGGGGGCGCTCTTTTGGCGAGTAAAAATTCCTTCACAAATGTGTTGATGGCTGGACATTGCATCATCCTAGAGAACTTGGAGGCCAGTGAGGACAAAAATAAAAAGTTATAAGACTTTTAAGACTGTGGATTTTTGGGTTATCTTTGGCGCCCCCTAGAACGTAAACCGTGGGGTGCAGCGTCATGATTTGTACAACTTTTAATGGCCATGGGGTGTAGATTGGCCTCAGCAAATGTGGTGCCTTTGGAACGAAAGCCTTCGGAGGAGTTAGCGAAATTCCAATGTGTGCGGATCGGCAAAAAATGCGAAATAGCCCTTTCACCGTACATTTGACAGATACGCCCGCACTGACTTTTTTGTAGATCTTATTGAGATACATGTGTGTGTCAATTTTTGTGTCAATATGACAAAGCGTAAAGGCGTGACAGTCAATAGTGTGAATTTTCGCCTTAGGAGACAAGAAAAAATGGACTTTTTTCTCCTGCCATGGGGGGGCGCTCTTTTGGGGAGTAAAAATTCCTTCACAAATGTGTTGATGGCTGGACATTGCATCATCCTAGAAAACTTGGAGGCCAGTGAGGACAAAAATAAAAAGTTATACGACTTTTAAGAATGTGGATTTCTGGGTTATCTTTGGCGCCCCCTAGAACGTAAACCGTGGGATGCAGCGTCATGATTTGTACAACTTTTAATGGCCATGGGGTGTAGATTGGCCTGAGCAAATTTGGTGCCGGTGGAACGAAAGCCTTCGGAGGAGTTAGCGAAATTCCAATGTGTGCGGATCGGCAAAAAATGCGAAATAGCCCTTTAACCGTACATTTGACAGATACGCCCGCACTGACTTTTTTGTAGATCTTATTGAGATACACGTGTGTGTCAAATTTTGTGTCATTTTGACAAAGCGTACAGGCGTGACACTCAATCATGTGAATTTTTCACCTTAGGGGGCGCTATGGAGCCATTTTGCATTTGATTTTTTGGGCGACTTCAGAATATCGAATTTTTCACCAGGCCCGGTCGTCCTGCCAAATTTCATGACTTTTCACCAGTGGGAAGTGGGCCATTTTCCAGTTCAAAGGGGCAGAAAAATAATAAGAAGACTAGGGCCCCGGTGGGGCACTGGCGGGCCCGAGCCGTGTCGCGCCGCCCCCAGCGCGACCGCCTCCCCCTCCCGATTGCGTCACACTCAAGGTCCAAAGAAGGTGTGCGCACTTGTCTGTGGTCATTTACCATTATAATGAATGGGAGGCGCAGTTTCTACCAAAACGCTCGCTGCAGACAAACTCCATGTCCTTTTTGAAAATAGTCTGGACCATGAGTGAGGGCACAAACACAGCTAGTATATATCCAAATGGCAAGTTGCTCCTCCTTTCGGTTTTGCCGGGAGAGCGATGCGTTTGAGCCATTGAGCGATGGGCAGGAAAAACTTGACTTTTTCTCCTGCCATAGGGGGGCGCTCTTTTGGGGAGAAAAAATTCCTTCACAAATGTGTTGATGGCTGGACATTGCATCATCCTAGAAAACTTGGAGGCCAGTGAGGACAAAAATAAAAGGTTATTAGACTTTTAAGAATGTGGATTTTTGGGTTATCTTTGGCGCCCCCTAGAACGTAGACCGTGGGGTGCAGCGTCATGATTTTTACAACTTTGAATGGCCATGGGGTGTAGATTGGCCTTAGCAAATTTGGTGCCAATGGGACGAAAGCCCTAGGAGGAGTTAGCCACATTCCAATGTGTGCGGATCGGCAAAAAATGCGGAATAGCCCTTTAACCGTACATTTTACAGATACGTGCCTATTGAGTTTTTCGTAGATCTGATTGAGATACACGTGATTGTCAAATTTTGTGTCAATATGACAAAGCGTATAGGTGTGACACTCAACAATGTGTATTTTCACCTTAGGGGACAAGAAAAAATTGCCTTTTTTCTCCTGCCATGGGGGCGCTCTTTTGGGGAGTAAAAATTCCTTCACAAATGTGTTGATGGCTGGACATTGCATCATCCTATAAAACTTGGAGGCCAGTGAGGACAAAATTAAAAAGTTATAAGACTTTTAAGAATGTGGATTTTTGGGTTATCTTTGGCGCCCCCTAGAACCTAAACCGTGGGGTGCAGCGTCATGATTTGTACAACTTTTAATGGCCATGGGGTGTAGATTGGCCTGTGCAAATGTGGTGCCGGTGGAACGAAAGCCTTAGGAGGAGTTAGCAAAATTCCAATGTGTGCGAATCGGCAAAAAATGCAAAATAGCCCTTTAACAGTACATTTTACACTTACGTGCCCGTTGACTTTTTCATAGATCTTATTGAGATACATGTGATTGTCAAATTTTTTGTCAATATGACAAAGCGTAAAGGCGTGACAGTCAACAACGTGTATTTTCACCTTTCGGGATAAGAAAAAATGGACTTTTTTCTCCTGCCATGGGGGGGCGCTCTTTTGGAGAGTTAAAATTTCTTTACAAATGTGTTGATGGCTGGACATTGCATCATCCTAGAAAACTTGGAGGCCAGTGAGGACAAAAATAAAAAGTTATAAGACTTTTAAGAATGTGGATTTTTGGGTTATCTTTGGCGCCCCCTAGAACCTAAACCGTGGGGTGCAGCGTCATGATTTGTACAACTTTTAATGGCCATGGGGTGTAGATTGGCCTGAGCAAATTTGGTGCCGGTGGAACGAAAGCCTTAGGAGGAGTTAGCCACATTCCAATGTGTGCGAATCGGCAAAAAATGCAAAATAGCCCTCTAACCGTACATTTGACAGATACGCGTGCATTGACTTTTTCGTAGATCTTATTGAGATACACGTGATTGTCAAATTTTGTGTCAATATGACAAAGCGTACAGGTGTCACACTCAACAATGTGAATTTTCACCTTAGGGGACAAGAAAAAATTGACTTTTTTCTCCTGCCATGGGGGGGCGCTCTTTTGGGGAGTAAAAATTCCTTCACAAATGTGTTGATGGCTGGACATTGCATCATCCTAGAAAACTTGGAGGCCAGTGAGGACAAAAATAAAAAGTTATAAGACTTTGAAATATGTGGATTTTAGGGTCATCTTTGGCGCCCCCTAGAACGTAAACCGTGGGGAGCAGCGTCATGATTTCTACAACTTTGAATGGCCATGGGATGTAGATCGGCTTGAGCAAATGTGGTGCCGGTGGGACGAAAGCCTTAGGAGGAGTTAGCCACATTCCAATGTGTGCGAATCGGCAAAAAATGCGAAATAGCCCTTTAACCGTACATTTTACAGATACGTGCCCATTGACTTTTTCGTAGATTTTATTGAGATACACGTGTGTGTCAAATTTTGTGTCATTTTGACAAAGCGTATAGGCGTGACAGTCAACAATGTGTTTTTTCACCTTAGGGGACAAGAAAAAATTGACTTTTTTCTCCTGCCATGGGGGGGGGCGCTCTTTTTCGGGAGTAAAAATTCCTTTACAAATGTGTTGATGGCTGGACATTGCATCATCCTAGAAAACTTGGAGGCCAGTGAGGACAAAAATAAAAAGTTATAACACTTTTAAGAATATGGATATTTGGGTCATCTTTGGCGCCCCCTAGAACGTAAACCGTGGGGTGCAGCGTCATGATTTTTACAACTTTGAATGGCCATGGGGTGTAGATTAGCCTGAGCAAATTTGGTGTCAGTGGGACGAAAGCTGTAGGACGAGTTAGCCACATTCCAATGTGTGCGAATCAGCAAAAAATGCAAAATAGCCCTTTAACCGTACATTTTACAGATACGTGCCCATTGACTTTTTCGTAGATCTTATTGAGATACATGTGTGTGTCAATTTTTGTGTCAATATGACAAAGCGTACAGGCGTGACAGTCAACAATGTGTATTTTCACCTTAGGGGACAAGAAAAAATGGACTTTTTTCTCCTGCCACGTGGGGGCGCTCTTTTGGGGAGTAAAAATTCCTTCACAAATGTGTTGATGGCTGGACATTGCATCATCCTAGAGAACTTGGAGGCCAGTGAGGAAAAAAATAAAAAGTTATAAGACTTTTAAGAATGTGGATTTTTTGGTTATCTTTGGCGCCCCCTAGAACCTAAACCGTGGGGTGCAGCGTCATGATTTGTACAACTTTCGATGGCCATGGGGTGTAGATTGGCCTGAGCAAATGTGGTGCCGGTGGAACGAAAGCCTTCGGAGGAGTTAGCGAAATTTCAATGTGTGCGGATCGGCAAAAAATGCGAAATAACCCTTTAACCGTACATTTAACAGATATGCCCGCACTGACTTTTTTGTAGATCTTATTGAGATACATGTGTGTGTCAATTTTTGTGTCATTTTGACAAAGCGTACAGGCGTGACAGTCAATAGTGTGAATTTTCACCTTAGGGGGCGCTATGGAGCCATTTTGCATTTTATTGTTTGGGCGACTTCAGAATATCGAATTTTTCACCAGGCCTGGTCGTCCTGCCAAATTTCATGAGTTTTCGCCAGTGGGAAGTGGGCCATTTTCCAGTTTAAAGCGGAGGAAAAATAATAATAATAACAAAAGAAGAATCCATCAGGAATAATAGGGCTCTCGCAGCTGCTTAGCAGCTACGCTCGGGCCCTAAGAAGAATCCATCAGGAATAATAGGGCTCTCGCAGCTGCTTAGCAGCTACGCTCGGGCCCTAACTAGGGCCCCGGTGGGGCACTGTCGGGCCCGAGCCGCGTCGCGCCGCCCCCAGTGCGACCGCCTCCCCGTCCCGATCGAGTCACACTCAAGAACCAAAGATGGTGTGCGCACTTGTCTGTGGTCATTTCCCATTATAATGAATGGGAGGCGCAGTTTCTACCAAAACACTCGCTGCAGACAAACTTCATGTCCTATTTGAAAAAAGTCTGGACCATGAGTGAGGGCACAAACACAGCTATGATATATCGAAATGCCAGGTTGCTCCTCCTTACGGTGTTGCCTGGAGAGCGATGCGATTGAGCCATTGAGCGATGGGCAGGAAAAACTTGACTTTTTCTCCTGCCATAGGGGGGGGGATGTGGATTCTTTTAAGAATGTGGATTTTTGGGTCATCTTTGGCGCCCCCTAGAACGTAAACCGTGGGGTGCAGCGTCATGATTTTTACAACTTTGAATGGCCATGGGGTGTAGATTGGCCTGAGCAAATTTGGTGTCAGTGGGACGAAAGCCTTAGGAGGAGTTAGCCACATTCCAATGTGTGCGAATCGGCAAAAAATGCAAAATAGCCCTTTAACCGTACATTTGACAGATACGCACGAATTGACTTTTTTGTAGATCTTATTGAGATACATATGTGTGTCAATTTTTGTGTCAATATGATAAAGCGTACAGGCGTGACAGTCAATAGTGTGAATTTCCACCTTAGGGGACAAGAAAAAATGGACTTTTTTCTCCTGCCATGGGGGGGGCGCTCTTTTGGGGAGTAAAAATTCCTTCACAAATGTGTTGATGGCTGGACATTGCATCATCCTAGAAAACTTGGAGGCCAGTGAGGACAAAAATAAAAAGTTATAAGACTTTGAAATATGTGGATTTTAGGGTTATCTTTGGCGCCCCCTAGAACCTAAACCGTGGGATGCAGCGTCATGATTTGAATAACTTTTAATGGCCATGGGGTCTAGATTGGCCTGAGCAAATGTGGTGCCGGTGGAACGAAAGCCTTAGGAGGAGTTAGCGAAATTCCAATGTGTGCGGATCGGCAAAAAATGCGGAATAACCCTTTAACCGTACATTTGACAGATACGCGCGCATTGACTTTTTCGTAGATCTTATTGAGATACATGTGTGTGTCAAATTTTGTGTCATTTTGCCAAAGCGTACAGGTGTTACACTCAACAATGTGTATTTTCACCTTAGGGGACAAGAAAAAATGGACTTTTTTCTCCTGCCATGGGGGGGCGCTCTTTTGGGGAGTAAAAATTCCTTCACAAATGTGTTGATGGCTGGACATTGCATCATCCTAGAAAACTTGGAGGCCAGTGAGGGCAAAAATAAAAAGTTATAAGACTTTTAAATATGTGGATCTTAGGGTTATTTTTGGCGCCCCCTAGAACCTAAACCTTGGGGTGCAGCGTCATGATTTGAATAACTTTTAATGGCCATGGGGTGTAGATTGGCCTGAGCAAATGTGGTGCCGGTGGAACGAAAGCCTTCGGAGGAGTTAGCGAAATTCCAATGTGTGCGGATCGGCAAAAAATGCGGAATAACCCTTTAACTGTACATTTGACAGATACGCGCGCATGGACTTTTTTGTAGATCTTATTGAGTTACATGTGTGTGTCAATTTTTGTGTCATTTTGACAAAGCGTATAGGCGTGACACTCAACAATGTGTATTTTCACCTTAGGGGACAAGAAAAAATGGACTTTTTTCTCCTGCCATGGGGGGGCGCTCTTTTGGGGAGTAAAAATTCCTTCACAAATGTGTTGATGGCTGGACATTGCATCATCTTAGAAAACTTGGAGGCCAGTGAAGACAAAAATAAAAAGTTATAAGACTTTTAAATATGTGGATTTTAGTGTTATCTTTGGCGCCCCCTAGAACCTAAACCTTGGGGTGCAGCGTCATGATTTTGATAACTTTTAATGGCCACGGGGTGTAGATTGGCCTGAGCAAATGTGGTGCCGGTGGAACGAAAGCCTTCGGAGGAGTTAGCGAAATTCCAATGTGTGCGGATCGGCAAAAAATGCGAAATAACCCTTTAACCGTAATTTTGACAGATACGGCCGCACTGACATTTTTGTAGATCTTATTGAGATACATATGTGTGTCAATTTTTGTGTCAATATGACAAAGCGTACAGGCGTGACAGTCAATAGTGTGAATTTCCACCTTAGGGGGCGCTATGGAGCCATTTTGCATTTTATTGTTTGGGCGACTTCAGAATATCGAATTTTTCACCAGGCCCGGTCGTCCTGCCAAATTTCATGAGTTTTCACCAGTGGGAAGTGGGCCATTTTCCAGTTCAAAGGGGAGGAAAAAGAAGAACTAGGGCCCCGTTGGGGCACTGGCGGGCCCGAGCCGTGTCGCGCCGCCCCCAGCGCGACCGCCTACCCCTCCCGATCGCGTCACACTCAAGGTCCAAAGATGGTGTGCGCACTTGTCTGTGGTCATTTACCATTATAATGAATGGGAGGCGCAGTTTCTACCAAAACGCTCGCTGCAGACAAACTCCATGTCCTTTTTGAAAAAAGTCTGGACCATGAGTGAGGGCACAAACACAGCTAGTATATATCCAAATGGCAAGTTGCTCCTCCTTTCCGTTTTGCCGAGAGAGCGATGCGTTTGAGCCATTAAGCGATGGGCAGGAAAAACTTGACTTTTTCTCCTGCCATGGGGGGGGCGCTCTTTTGGGGAGTAAAAATTCCCTCACAAATGTGTTGATGGCTGGACATTGCATCATCCTAGAAAACTTGGAGGCCAGTGAGGACAAAAATAAAAAGTTATAAGACTTTGAAATATGTGGATTTTAGGGTTATCTTTGGCGCCCCCTAGAACCTAAACCGTGGGGTGCAGCGTCATGATTTGAATAACTTTTAATGGCCATGGGGTGTAGATTGGCCTGAGCAAATGTGGTGCCGGTGGAACGCCAGCCTTAGGAGGAGTTAGCGAAATTCCAATGTGTGCGGATCAGCAAAAAATGCGGAATAACCCTTTAACTGTACATTTGACAGATACGCGCGCATTGACTTTTTCGTAGATCTTATTGAGATACATGTGTGTGTCAAATTTTGTGTCAATATGACAAAGCGTACAGGCGTGACACTCAACAATGTGTATTTTCACCTTAGGGGACAAGAAAAAATGGACTTTTTTCTCCGGCCATGGGGGGGCGCTCTTTTGGGGAGTAAAAATTCCTTCACAAATGTGTTGATGGCTGGACATTGCATCATCCTAGAAAACTTGGAGGCCAGTGAGGGCAAAAATAAAAAGTTATAAGACTTTTAAATATGTGGATTTTAGGGTTATCTTTGGCGCCCCCTAGAACCTAAACCGTGGGGTGCAGCGTCATGATTTGAATAACTTTTAATGGCCATGGGGTGTAGATTGGCCTGAGCAAATGTGGTGCCGGTGGAAAGAAAGCCTTCGGAGGAGTTAGCGAAATTCCAATGTGTACGGATCGGCAAAAAATGCGGAATAACCCTTTAACCGTACATTTGACAGATACGGCCGCACTGACTTTTTTGTAGATCTTATTGAGATACATATGTGTGTCAAATTTTGTGTCATTTTGACAAAGCGTAAAGGCGTGACAGTCAATAGTGTGAATTTTCACCTTAGGGGGCGCTATGGAGCCATTTTGCATTTTCTTGTTTGGGCGACTTCAGAATATCAAATTTTTCACCAGGCCCGGTCGTCCTGCCAAATTTCATGAGTTTTCGCCAGTGGGAAGTGGGCCATTTTCCAGTTCAAAGGGGAGGAAAAATAATAATAATAACAAAAGAAGGAAACATGCAGGAACAAGAGGGCTCTCGCAGCTGCTTAGCAGCTACGCTCGGGCCCTAAAGAAAGAAAGAACTAGGGCCCCGGTGGGGCACTGTCGGGCCCGAGCCGCGTCGCGCCGCCCCCAGTGCGACCGCCTCCCCGTCCCGATCGAGTCACACTCAAGAACCAAAGATGGTGTGCGCACTTGTCTGTGGTCATTTCCCATTATAATGAATGGGAGGCGCAGTTTCTACCAAAACACTCGCTGCAGACAAACTTCATGTCCTATTTGAAAAAAGTCTGGACCATGAGTGAGGGCACAAACACAGCTATGATATATCGAAATGCGAGGTTGCTCCTCCTTACGGTGTTGCCTGGAGAGCGATGCGATTGAGCCATTGAGCGATGGGCAGGAAAAACTTGACTTTTTCTCCTGCCATGGGGGGGGGATGTGGATTCTTTTAAGAATGTGGATTTTTGGGTCATCTTTGGCGCCCCCTAGAACGTAAACCGTGGGGTGCAGCGTCATGATTTTTACAACTTTGAATGGCCATGGGGTGTAGATTGGCCTGAGCAAATTTGGTGTCAGTGGGACGAAAGCCTTAGGAGGAGTTAGCCACATTCCAATGTGTGCGAATCGGCAAAAAATGCAAAATAGCCCTTTAACCGTACATTTGACAGATACGCGCGAATTGACTTTTTTGTAGATCTTATTGAGATACATATGTGTGTCAATTTTTGTGTCAATATGATAAAGCGTACAGGCGTGACAGTCAATACTGTGAATTTCCACCTTAGGGGACAAGAAAAAATTGACTTTTTTCTCCTGCCATGGGGGGCGCTCTTTTGGGGAGTAAAAATTCCTTCACAAATGTGTTGATGGCTGGACAGTGCATCATCCTAGAAAACTTGGAGGCCAGTGAGGACAAAAATAAAAAGTTATAAGACTTTGAAATATGTGGATTTTAGGGTTATCTTTGGCGCCCCCTAGAACCTAAACCGTGGGATGCAGCGTCATGATTTGAATAACTTTTAATGGCCATGGGGTGTAGATTGGCCTGAGCAAATGTGGTGCCGGTGGAACGAAAGCCTTCGGAGGAGTTAGCGAAATTCCAATGTGTGCGGATCGGCAAAAAATGCGGAATAACCCTTTAACCGTACATTTGACAGATACGCGCGCATTGACTTTTTCGTAGATCTTATTGAGATACATGTGTGTGTCAATTTTTGTGTCATTTTGCCAAAGCGTACAGGTGTTACACTCAACAATGTGTATTTTCACCTTAGGGGACAAGAAAAAATGGACTTTTTTTCTCCTGCCATGGGGGGGCGCTCTTTTAGGGAGTAAAAATTCCTTCACAAATGTGTTGATGGCTGGACATTGCATCATCCTAGAAAACTTGGAGGCCAGTGAGGACAAAAATAAAAAGTTATAAGACTTTTAAAAATTTGGATTTTTGGGTTATCTTTGGCGCCCCCTAGAACGTAAACCGTGGGGTGCAGCGTCATGATTTGAATAACTTTTAATGGCCATGGGGTGTAATTTGGCCTGAGCAAATGTGGTGCCGGTGGAACGAAAGCCTTCGGAGGAGTTAGCGAAATTCCAATGTGTGCGAATCGGCAAAAAATGCGGAATAACCCTTTAACTGTACATTTGACAGATACGCGCCCATTGACTTTTTTGTAGATCTTATTGAGATACATGTGTGTGTCAATTTTTGTGTCATTTTGACAAAGCGTACAGGCGTGACACTCAACAATGTGTATTTTCACCTTAGGGGACAAGAAAAAATGGACTTTTTTCTCCTGCCATGGGGGGGCGCTCTTTTGGGGAGTAAAAATTCCTTCACAAATGTGTTGATGGCTGGACATTGCATCATCCTAGAAAACTTGGAGGCCAGTGAGGACAAAAATAAAAAGTTATAAGACTTTGAAATATGTGGATTTTAGTGTTATCTTTGGCGCCCCCTAGAACCTAAACCGTGGGGTGCAGCGTCATGATTTGAATAACTTTTAATGGCCATGGGGTGTAGATTGGCCTGAGCAAATGTGGTGCCGGTGGAACGAAAGCCTTCGGAGGAGTTAGCGAAATTCCAATGTGTGCGGATCGGCAAAAAATGCGCAATAACCCTTTAACCGTACATTTGACAGATACGCCCGCACTGACTTTTTTGTAGATCTTATTGAGATACATGTGTGTGTCAATTTTTGTGTCATTTTGACAAAGCGTACAGGCGTCAGGTGAATTTTTCACCTTAGGGGGCGCTATGGAGCCATTTTGCATTTTCTTGTTTGGGCGACTTCGGAATATCAAATTTTTCACCAGGCCCGGTCGTCCTGCCAAATTTCATGAGTTTTCGCCAGTGGGAAGTGGGCCATTTTCCAGTTCAAAGGGGAGGAAAAATAACTAGGGCCCCGGTGGGGCACTGGCGGGCCCGAGCCGTGTCGCGCCGCCCCCAGCGCGACCGCCTCCCCCACCCAATCGCGTCACACTCAAGGTCCAAAGATGGTGTGCGCACTTGTCTGTGGTCATTTACCATTATAATGAATGGGAGGCGCAGTTTCTACCAAAACGCTCGCTGCAGAAAAACTCCATGTCCTATTTGAAAAAAGTCTGGACCATGAGTGAGGGCACAAACACAGCTAAGATATATCCAAATGGCAAGTTGCTCCTCCTTTCGCTTTTGCCGAGAGAGCGATGCGTTTGAGCCATTGAACGATGAACAGGAAAAACTTGACTTTATTCTCCTGCCATGGGGGGCGCTCTTTTAACGAGAAAAAACTCCTTCACAAATGTGTTGATGGCTGGACATTGCATCATCCTAGAAAACATGGAGGCCAGTGAGGACAAAAATAAAATGTTATAACACTTTTAAGAATATGGATATTTGGGTCATCTTTGGCGCCCCCTAGAACTTAAACCGTGGGTTGCAGCGTCATGATTTTTACAACTTTGAATGGCCATGGGGTGTAGATTGGCCTGAGCAAATTTGGTGCCGGTGGAGCGAAAGCCTTCGGAGGAGTTAGCTACATTCCAATGTGTGCGAATCGGCAAAAAATGCGAAATAGCCCTTTAACCGTACATTTGACAGATACGCCTGCATTTACTTTTTCGTAGATCTTATTGAGATACACGTGTGTGTTGAATTTTGTGTCATTTTGACAAAGCGTACAGGCATGACACTCAACAATGTGTATTTTCACCTTAGGGGACAAGAAAAAATGGACTTTTTTCTCCTGCCATGGGGGGGCGCTCTTTTGGGGAGTAAACATTCCTTCACAAATGTGTTGATGGCTGGACATTGCATCATCCTAGAAAACTTGGAGGCCAGTGAGGACAAAAATAAAAAGTTATAAGACTTTTAAAAATGTGGATATTTGGGTCCTCTTTGGCGCCCCCTAGAACATAGACCCTGGGGTGCAGCGTCATGATTTTTACAACTTTGAATGGCCATGGAGTGTAGATTGGCCTGAGCAAATTTGGTGTCAGTGGGACGAAAGCCTTCGGAGGAGTTAGCGAAATTCCAATGTGTGCGGATCGGCAAAAAATGCGAAATAGCCCTTTAACCGTACATTTGACAGATACGCCCGCACTGACTTTTTTGTAGATCTTATTGAGATACACGTGATTGTCAAATTTTGTGTCAATATGACGAAGCGTACAGGCGTGACATTCAACAATGTGTATTTTCGCCTTAGGGGACTAGAAAAAATGGACTTTTTTCTCCTGCCATGGGGGGGCGCTCTTTTGGCGAGTAAAAATTCCTTCACAAATGTGTTGATGGCTGGACATTGCATCATCCTAGAAAACTTGGAGGCCAGTGAGGACAAAAATAAAAAGTTATAAGACTTTTAAGAATGTGGATTTTTGGGTTATTTTTGGCGCCCCCTAGAACGTAAACCGTGGGGTGCAGCATCATGATTTGTACAACTTTTAATGGCCATGGGGTGTAGATTGGCCTGAGCAAATTTGGTGCCGGTGGAACGAAAGCCTTCGGAGGAGTTAGCGAAATTCCAATGTGTGCGGATCGGCAAAAAATGCGAAATAGCCCTTTAACCGTACATTTGACAGATACGCCCGCACTGACTTTTTTGTAGATCTTATTGAGATACACATGTGTGTCAAATTTTGTGTCATTTTGACAAAGCGTACAGGCGTCAGGTGAGTTTTCACCATAGGGGGCGCTATGGAGCCATTTTTCATTTTTTTGTTGGGGCGACTTCAGAATATCAAATTTTTCACCAGGCCCGGTCGTCCTGCCAAATTTCCTGAGTTTTCGCCAGTGGGAAGTGGGCCATTTTCCAGTTTAAAGCGGAGGAAAAATAACGAAAGAAGAATCCATCAGGAACAAGAGGGCTCTCGCAGCTGCTTAGCAGCTACGCTCGGGCCCTAATAATAACAAAAGAAGGAAACATGCAGGAACAAGAGGGCTCTCGCAGCTGCTTAGCAGCTACGCTCGGGCCCTAACTAGGACCCCGTTGGGGCACTGGCGGGCCCGAGCCGTGTCGCCCCCCCCCCCCCAACGTGCTGCCTCCCCGTCCCATTTGTGTCCTCTGGCCATCGCCCTCTCTTGTAACGCCCATCACTGCAAAGACCCTTTTCCTTCATCGGCGTTTGCTGTTCTTCCTGCCAGTGCGTGTTGCTTTCACTTACACTTGCCACAGCCAGCCTCGTGAGTGCCTAGCCTATTGGATATCACTGTCACCTACACAGGACAGTCATTACCTTTCTATTAATACTTTGTGTTTTAATTTCACATTAATTTCTATATTGTATAAACGACTGGAAAAAACTTGAGCCCCTGCCCCTGTATAATCTTGTGCATGTCTCTGTTCTAGCTCCAAGGTGAATCTTCACTGCTCATGTTCTCCTCAGAAGCACTCACCTCACTCCCCTCAGGTTACTGTACACATGCACCAACTGCCTGCTTCAGGTTTGGATGGAGCTTCATGGTTGTCTTTTGGAGAAATGACCAGTCAAGTTGTGTTTGAAATTTGATTTTTTTTTCAGGGGCAAAAGGAGCCTCTGCATTCTTGTCAAATATGTAAATAGCATGTTTTTGCAGGTGCTAAAAACCAGACTCTGAGTGTGTGTGTGTGTGTGTGTGTGTGTGTGTGCGTGTGTGTGTGTCTGTGTGTGCGTTCAAGTCACATGACATATTTAACCGGATGTAGCTGCAAGACGGAGCCTCGTTGACTCTCCGTTTCAACTTATCTCAAAAGTGAGGACCTCAACCTATATACCAGTTTTTAAATTGTGTTGATAGGCCAAATAAAACCAGAGTTATGATAAATTATGTCCGCGATACTTTTTTTCTGCTTATTTTGATCACGTTCGGCGCTCGATCGCGCTGTATGAGACAGGAAAACATAGCATGCAGACATTAGCAACAGGTCTTACAGGCGGAAAAGGCTTGCCAAAAGAAAAAAAAAACACACCACAACATCTCTCCTATTGGTGGAAAACTTCACCACAACAACCAATCCAAAATTATATGGTGACTGATTGACAAGGGGAGGGCGCTTACGTTCTTCCTGCAACATGAGAAGGGAGGGAGGGACTCTCAGCAGGGATGCAGTCTGGGACACGTAGTTGCAAACCTAGCGACTTTGTTGTTAGATTCAATGACTTTTCAGACCCCCTAACGACTTTTTTTTAGAAAGAAAGGGACTTTTATCGACTTCTTCTGGAGTTTAGAGACTCTGACATGAAGCAGGCTTTCCTTACTGAGGAGTTAGCAACGCTGCTAAGGGTGCAGAGCCACACATGCGCTCAGAGCTCTGCATGGGAGACTGAAGCTGACAGAGCTGCAGCAGTTAGCAGGTTTCACCCTCAGAGACCACCAGGGGTTCATGTTGAGGCATTTTAATTTTTTTTTTTTTGTGCCATAGACACTGTCAGCACAATCTGCAGTTACACTAACAAAAATGCTGCAAAAAACAAAGAATTATGGAAAAATTACACATGGACTGACATACAGGAGGATCTACACAAGTTTTTTACATCATGTTTTACATCATGCATCATTTACATCATGTTTTTTTGTAGTGGCATAAATAAAAAGTGACATTTGTGAGACTATACAGTGTTTTGTAAATAATTTTACAAAGAACGCCTGGGCCATTGCCTGCATTTTGATGTAAATAGAGGTAAATCACTATGTTCTTTGTTAAAAATTTGCATATGTTTTGAAGTTTACAATTTTTATTTGAAGTTTAAGTTTTAAAAACAGTTCATCACACATATTTGTGGTTTTCACAGTAAAAATGTTACTTTTTTCCACTCGGATTTTATGTTTTGTGTGTGAATTTGGGTCCATTGTGTAAATTCAGTATGTCAACATGATAAAATAACTGTAAATTCGCACAGGTGAGGTTGTGCTGAAAAAAATGATACCAGGCAAGGCACGTGATTGTCAAATTTTGTGTCAATATGACAAAGCGTATAGGCGTGAATCTCAACAATATGTATTTTCACCTTAGGGGACAAGAAAAAATGGACTTTTTTCTCCTGCCATGGGGGGGCGCTCTTTTGGGGAGTAAAAATTCCTTCACAAATGTGTTGATGGCTGGACATTGCATCATCCTAGAAAACTTGGAGGCCAGTGAGGACAAAAATAAAAAGTTATAAAACTTTTAAATATGTGGATTTTAGTGTTATCTTTGGCGCCCCCTAGAACCTAAACCGTGGGGTGCAGCGTCATGATTTGAATAACTTTTAATGGCCATGGGGTGTAGATTGGCCTGAGCAAATGTGGTGCCGGTGGAACGAAAGCCTTAGGAGGAGTTAGCCACATTCCAATGTGTGCGGATCGGCAAAAAATGCGAAAAAACCCTTTAACCGTACATTTGACAGATACGCGCGCATTGACTTTTTCGTAGATCTTATTGAGTTACATGTGTGTGTCAATTTTTGTGTCATTTTGACAAAGCGTATAGGCGTGACACTCAACAATGTGTATTTTCACCTTAGGGGACAAGAAAAAATGGACTTTTTTCTCCTGCCATGGGGGGGCGCTCTTTTGGGGAGTAAAAATTCCTTCACAAATGTGTTGATGGCTGGACATTGCATCATCCTAGAAAACTTGGAGGCCAGTGAGGACAAAAATAAAAAGTTATAAGACTTTTAAATATGTGGATTTTAGTGTTATCTTTGGCGCCCCCTAGAACCTAAACCTTGGGGTGCAGCGTCATGATTTTGATAACTTTTAATGGCCACGGGGTGTAGATTGGCCTGAGCAAATGTGGTGCCGGTGGAACGAAAGCCTTCGGAGGAGTTAGCGAAATTCCAATGTGTGCAGATCGGCAAAAAATGCGAAATAACCCTTTAACCGTAATTTTGACAGATACGGCCGCACTGACTTTTTTGTAGATCTTATTGAGATACATGTGTGTGTCAATTTTTGTGTCATTTTGACAAAGCGTACAGTCGTGACAGTGAATAGTGTGAATTTTCACCTTAGGGGGCGCTATGGAGCCATTTTGCATTTTATTGTTTTGGCGACTTCAGAATATCAAATTTTTCACCAGGCCCGGTCGTCCTGCCAAATTTCATGAGTTTTCGCCAGTGGGAAGTGGGCCATTTTCCAGTTCAAAGGGGAGGAAAAAGAAAAAACTAGGGCCCCGGTGGGGCACTGGCGGGCCCGAGCCGTGTCGCGCCGCCCCCAGCGCGACCGCCTCCCCCACCCGATCGCGTCACACTCAAGGTCCAAAGATGGTGTGCGCACTTGTTTGTGGTCATTTACCATTATAATGAACGGGAGGCGCAGTTTCTACCAAAACGCTCGCTGCAGAAAAACTCCATGTCCTATTTGAAAAAAGTCTGGACCATGAGTGAGGGCACAAACACAGCTAAGATATATCCAAATGGCAAGTTGCTCCTCCTTTCGCTTTTGCCGAGAGAGCAGTGCGTTTGAGCCATTGAATGATGAACAGGAAAAACTTGACTTTATTCTCCTGCCATGGGGGGGCGCTCTTTTAACGAGAAAAAACTCCTTCACAAATGTGTTGATGGCTGGACATTGCATCATCCTAGAAAACATGGAGGCCAGTGAGGACAAAAATAAAAAGTTATAAGACTTTTAAATATGTGGATTTTAGGGTTATCTTTGGCGCCCCCTAGAACCTAAACCGTGGGGTGCAGCGTCATGATTTGAATAACTTTTAATGGCCATGGGGTGTAGATTGGCCTGAGCAAATGTGGTGCCGGTGGAACGAAAGCCTTCAAAAGGAGTTAGCGAAATTCCAATGTGTGCGAATCTGCAAAAAATGCGAAATAACCCTTTAACCGTACATTTTACAGATACGTGGCCATTGACTTTTTCGAAGATCTTATTGAAAGACACGTGTATGTAAAATTTTGTGTCAATACGACAAAACATACAGGCGTAGCACTCAACAATGTGTATTTTCACCTTAGGGGACAAGAAAAAATGGACTTTTTTCTCCTGCCATGGGGGGGCGCTCTTTTGGGGAGTAAAAATTCCTTCACAAATGTGTTGATGGCTGGACATTGCATCATCCTAGAAAACTTGGAGGCCAGTGGGGACAAAAATAAAAAGTTATAAGACTTTTAAATATGTGGATTTTACGGTTATCTTTGGCTCCCCCTAGAACCTAAACCGTGGGGTGCAGCGTCATGATTTGAATAACTTTTAATGGCCATGGGGTGTAGATTGGCCTGAGCAAATGTGGTGCCGGTGGAACGAAAGCCTTCGGAGGAGTTAGCGAAATTCCAATGTGTGCGGATCGGCAAAAAATGCGGAATAACCCTTTAACCGTACATTTGACAGATACGCGCGCATTGACTTTTTTCGTAGATCTTATTGAGATACATGTGTGTGTCAATTTTTGTGTCATTTTGCCAAAGCGTACAGGTGTTACACTCAACAATGTGTATTTTCACCTTAGGGGACAAGAAAAAATGGACTTTTTTCTCCTGCCATGGGGGGCGCTCTTTTGGGGAGTAAAAATTCCTTCACAAATGTGTTGATGGCTGGACATTGCATCATCCTAGAAAACTTGGAGGCCAGTGAGGGCAAAAATAAAAAGTTATAAGACTTTTAAATATGTGGATCTTAGGGTTATCTTTGGCGCCCCCTAGAACCTAAACCGTGAGGTGCAGCGTCATGATTTGAATAACTTTTAATGGCCATGGGGTGTAGATTGGCCTGAGCAAATGTGGTGCCGGTGGAACGAAAGCCTTCGGAGGAGTTAGCGAAATTCCAATGTGTGCGGATCGGCAAAAAATGCGAAATAACCCTTTAACCGTACATTTGACAGATACGCCCGCACTGACTTTTTTGTAGATCTTATTGAGATACATGTGTGTGTCAATTTTTGTGTCATTTTGACAAAGCGTACCGGCGTGACAGTGAATAGTGTGAATTTTCACCTTAGGGGGCGCTATGGAGCCATTTTGCATTTTCTTGTTTGGGCGACTTCGGAATATCAAATTTTTCACCAGGCCCGGTCGTCCTGCCAAATTTCATGAGTTTTCGCCAGTGGGAAGTGGGCCATTTTCCAGTTCAAAGGGGAGGAAAAATAATAATAATAATAATAATAACAAAAGAAGGAAACTACAGGAACAAGAGGGCTCTCGCAGCTGCTTAGCAGCTACGCTCGGGCCCTAACTAGGGCCCCGTTGGGGCACTGGCGGGCCCGAGCCGCGTTGCGCCGCCCCCAGTGCGACCGCCTCCCCCTCCCGATCGCGTCACACTCAAGGTCCAAAGATGGTGTGCGCACTTGTCTGTGGTCATTTCCCATTATAATGAATGGGAGGCGCAGTTTCTACCAAAACACTCGCTGCAGACAAACTACATGTCCTATTTGAAAAAAGTCTGGACCATGAGTGAGGCCACAAACACAGCTAGGATATATCCAAACGGCAAGTTGCTCCTTGTTACGGTGTTGCCGGGAGAGCGATGCGATTGAGCCATTGAGTGATGGGCAGGAAAAACTTGACTGTTTCTCCTGCCATGGGGGATGGGGGATGGGGGGGGGATGTGGATTCTTTTAAGAATGTGGATATTTGGGTCATCTTTGGCGCCCCCTAGAACGTGAGCCGTGGGGTGCAGCGTCATGATTTTTACAACTTTGAATGGCCATGGGGTGTAGATTGGCCTGAGCAAATTTGGTGTCAGTGGGACGAAAGCCTTAGGAGGAGTTAGCCACATTCCAATGTGTGCGAATCGGCAAAAAATGCAAAATAGCCCTTTAACCGTACATTTGACAGATACACGCCCATTGACTTTTTCGTAGATCTTATTGAGATACACGTGATTGTCAAATTTTGTGTCAATATGACAAAGCGTATAGGCGTGAATCTCAACAATATGTATTTTCACCTTAGGGGACAAGAAAAAATGGACTTTTTTCTCCTGCCATGGGGGGGCGCTCTTTTGGGGAGTAAAAATTCCTTCACAAATGTGTTGATGGCTGGACATTGCATCATCCTAGAAAACCTGGAGGCCAGTGAGGACAAAAATAAGAAGTTATAAGACTTTTAAATATGTGGATTTTAGGGTTATCTTTGGCGCCCCCTAGAACCTAAACCGTGGGGTGCAGCGTCATGATTTGAATAACTTTTAATGGCCATGGGGTGTAGATTGGCCTGAGCAAATGTGGTGCCAGTGGAACGAAAGCCTTAGGAGGAGTTAGCCACATTCCAATGTGTGCGGATCGGCAAAAAATGCGGAATAACCCTTTAACCGTACATTTGACAGATATGCGCGCATTGACTTTTTCGTAGATCTTATTGAGATACATGTGTGTGTTAATATTTGTGTCATTTTGCCAAAGCGTACAGGCGTGACACTAAACAATGTGTATTTTCACCTTAGGGGACAAGAAAAAATAGACTTTTTTCTCCTGCCATGGGGGGGCGCTCTTTTGGGGAGTAAAATTTCCTTCACAAATGTGTTGATGGCTGGACATTGCATTATCCTAGAAAACTTGGAGGCCAGTGAGGACAAAAATAAAAAGTTATAAGACTTTTAAGAATGTGGATTTTTGGGTTATCTTTGGCGCCCCCTAGAACCTTCACCGTGGGTTGCAGCGTCATGATTTGTACAACTTTTAATGGCCATGGGGTGTAGATTGGCCTGAGCAAATTTGGTGCCGGTGGAACGAAAGCCTTCGGAGGAGTTAGCGAAATTCCAATGTGTGCGGATCGGCAAAAAATGCAAAATAGCCCTTTAACCGTACATTATACAGATACGCGCTCTATGACTTTTTTGTAGATCTTATTGAGATACACGTGATTGTCAAATGTTTTGTCAATATGACAAAGCGTTTAGGCGTGACACTCAACAATGTGTATTTTCATGTTAGGGGACAAGAAAAACTTGACTTTTTTCTCCTGCCATGGGGGGGCGCTCTTTTGGGGAGTAAAAATTCCTTCACAAATGTGTTGATGGCTTGACATGGCATCATCCTAGAAAACTTGGAGGCCAGTGAGGACAAAAATAAAAAGTTATAAGAATTTTAAGAATGTGGATTTTTGGGTTATCTTTGGCGCCCCCTAGAACGTAAACCGTGGGGTGCAGCATCATGATTTGTACAACTTTTAATGGCCATGGGGTGTAGATTGGCCTGAGCAAATGTGGTGCCGGTGGAACGAAAGCCTTCGGAGGAGTTAGCGAAATTCCAATGTGTGCGGATCGGCAAAAAATGCGAAATAGCCCTTTAACGGTACATTTGACAGATACGCCCGCACTGACTTTTTTGTAGATCTTATTGAGATACACATGTGTGTCAAATTTTGTGTCATTTTGACAAAGTGTACAGGCGTCAGGTGAGTTTTCACCATAGGGGGCGCTATGCAGCCATTTTTCATTTTTTTGTTTGGGCGACTTCAGAATATCAAATTTTTCACCAGGCCCGGTCGTCCTGCCAAATTTCCTGAGTTTTCGCCAGTGGGAAGTGGGCCATTTTCCAGTTTAAAGCGGAGGAAAAATAACGAAAGAAGAATCCATCAGGAACAAGAGGGCTCTCGCAGCTGCTTAGCAGCTACGCTCGGGCCCTAAGAAAGAAAGAAACAAAGACTAGGGCCCCGGTGGGGCACTGTCGGGCCCGAGCCGCGTCGCGCCGCCCCCAGTGCGACCGCCTCCCCGTCCCGATCGAGTCACACTCAAGAACCAAAGATGGTGTGCGCACTTGTCTGTGGTCATTTCCCATTATAATGAATGGGAGGCGCAGTTTCTACCAAAACACTCGCTGCAGACAAACTTCATGTCCTATTTGAAAAAAGTCTGGACCATGAGTGAGGGCACAAACACAGCTATGATATATCGAAATGCGAGGTTGCTCCTCCTTACGGTGTTGCCTGGAGAGCGATGCGATTGAGCCATTGAGCGATGGGCAGGAAAAACTTGACTTTTTCTCCTGCCATGGGGGGGGGATGTGGATTCTTTTAAGAATGTGGATTTTTGGGTCATCTTTGGCGCCCCCTAGAACGTAAACCGTGGGGTGCAGCGTCATGATTTTTACAACTTTGAATGGCCATGGGGTGTAGATTGGCCTGAGCAAATTTGGTGTCAGTGGGACGAAAGCCTTAGGAGGAGTTAGCCACATTCCAATGTGTGCGAATCGGCAAAAAATGCAAAATAGCCCTTTAACCGTACATTTGACAGATACGCGCGAATTGACTTTTTTGTAGATCTTATTGAGATACATATGTGTGTCAATTTTTGTGTCAATATGATAAAGCGTACAGGCGTGACAGTCAATACTGTGAATTTCCACCTTAGGGGACAAGAAAAAATTGACTTTTTTCTCCTGCCATGGGGGGGCGCTCTTTTGGGGAGTAAAAATTCCTTCACAAATGTGTTGATGGCTGGACATTGCATCATCCTAGAAAACTTGGAGGCCAGTGAGGACAAAAATAAAAAGTTATAAGACTTTGAAATATGTGGATTTTAGGGTTATCTTTGGCGCCCCCTAGAACCTAAACCGTGGGATGCAGCGTCATGATTTGAATAACTTTTAATGGCCATGGGGTGTAGATTGGCCTGAGCAAATGTGGTGCCGGTGGAACGAAAGCCTTCGGAGGAGTTAGCGAAATTCCAATGTGTGCGGATCGGCAAAAAATGCGGAATAACCCTTTAACCGTACATTTGACAGATACGCGCGCATTGACTTTTTCGTAGATCTTATTGAGATACATGTGTGTGTCAATTTTTGTGTCATTTTGCCAAAGCGTACAGGTGTTACACTCAACAATGTGTATTTTCACCTTAGGGGACAAGAAAAAATGGACTTTTTTTCTCCTGCCATGGGGGGGCGCTCTTTTAGGGAGTAAAAATTCCTTCACAAATGTGTTGATGGCTGGACATTGCATCATCCTAGAAAACTTGGAGGCCAGTGAGGACAAAAATAAAAAGTTATAAGACTTTTAAAAATTTGGATTTTTGGGTTATCTTTGGCGCCCCCTAGAACGTAAACCGTGGGGTGCAGCGTCATGATTTGAATAACTTTTAATGGCCATGGGGTGTAATTTGGCCTGAGCAAATGTGGTGCCGGTGGAACGAAAGCCTTCGGAGGAGTTAGCGAAATTCCAATGTGTGCGAATCGGCAAAAAATGCGGAATAACCCTTTAACTGTACATTTGACAGATACGCGCCCATTGACTTTTTTGTAGATCTTATTGAGATACATGTGTGTGTCAATTTTTGTGTCATTTTGACAAAGCGTACAGGCGTGACACTCAACAATGTGTATTTTCACCTTAGGGGACAAGAAAAAATGGACTTTTTTCTCCTGCCATGGGGGGGCGCTCTTTTGGGGAGTAAAAATTCCTTCACAAATGTGTTGATGGCTGGACATTGCATCATCCTAGAAAACTTGGAGGCCAGTGAGGACAAAAATAAAAAGTTATAAGACTTTGAAATATGTGGATTTTAGTGTTATCTTTGGCGCCCCCTAGAACCTAAACCGTGGGGTGCAGCGTCATGATTTGAATAACTTTTAATGGCCATGGGGTGTAGATTGGCCTGAGCAAATGTGGTGCCGGTGGAACGAAAGCCTTCGGAGGAGTTAGCGAAATTCCAATGTGTGCGGATCGGCAAAAAATGCGCAATAACCCTTTAACCGTACATTTGACAGATACGCCCGCACTGACTTTTTTGTAGATCTTATTGAGATACATGTGTGTGTCAATTTTTGTGTCATTTTGACAAAGCGTACAGGCGTCAGGTGAATTTTTCACCTTAGGGGGCGCTATGGAGCCATTTTGCATTTTCTTGTTTGGGCGACTTCGGAATATCAAATTTTTCACCAGGCCCGGTCGTCCTGCCAAATTTCATGAGTTTTCGCCAGTGGGAAGTGGGCCATTTTCCAGTTCAAAGGGGAGGAAAAATAACTAGGGCCCCGGTGGGGCACTGTCGGGCCCGAGCCGCGTCGCGCCGCCCCCAGCGCGACCGCCTCCACCTCCCGATCGCGTCACACTCAAGGTCCAAAGATGGAGTGTGCACTTGTCTGTGGTCATTTTCCATTATAATGAATGGGAGGCGCAGTTTCTACCAAAACACTCGCTGCAGACAAACTACATGTCCTATTTGAAAAAAGTCTGGACCATGAGTGAGGGCACAAACACAGCTAGGATATATCCAAATGGCAAGTTGCTCCTCCTTTCGCTTTTGCCGAGAGAGCGATGCGATTGAGCCATTGAGCGATGGGCAGGAAAAACTTGACTTTTTCTCCTGCCATGGGGGGAGGGGGGGGGGATGTGGATTCTTTAAAGAATGTGGATATTTGGGTCATCTTTGGCGCCCCCTAGAACGTAAACCGTGGGGTGCAGCGTCATGATTTTGATAACTTTTAATGGCCATGGGGTGTAGATTGGCCTGAGCGAATTTGGTGTCAGTGGGACGAAAGCCTTAGGAGGAGTTAGCCACATTCCAATGTGTGCGAATCGGCAAAAAATGCAAAATAGCCCTTTAACCGTACATTTTACAGATATTTGCGCATTGACTTTTTCATAGATCTTATTGAGATACACGTGATTGTCAAATTTTGTGTAATTTTGACAAAGCGTACAGGCGTGACACTCAACAATGTGTATTTTCACCTTATGGGACAAGAAAAAATGGACTTTTTTCTCCTGCCATGGGGGGGCGCTCTTTTGGGGAGTAAAAATTCCTTCACAAATGTGTTGATGGCTGGACATTGCATCATCCTAGAAAACTTGGAGGCCAGTGAGGACAAAAATAAAAAGTTATAAGACTTTTAAATATGTGGATTTTAGGGTTATCTTTGGCGCCCCCTAGAACCTAAACTGTGGGGTGCAGCGTCATGATTTGTACAACTTTTAATGGCCATGGGGTGTAGATTGGCCTGAGCAAATTTGGTGCCGGTGGAACGAAAGCCTTCGGAGGAGTTAGCGAAATTCCAATGTGTGCGGATCAGCAAAAAATGCGAAATAGCCCTTTAACCGTACATTATACAGATACGCGCTCTTTGACTTTTTCGTAGATCTTATTGAGATACACGTGTGTGTCAAATTTTGTGTCAATATGACAAAGCGTTCAGGCGTGGCACTCAACAATGTGTATTTTCACCTTAGGGGACAAGAAAAAATGGACTTTTTTCTCCTGCCATGGGGGGGCGCTCTTTTGGGGAGTAAAAATTTCTTCACAAATGTGTTGATGGCTGGACATTGCATCATCCTAGAAAACTTGGAGGCCAGTGAGGACAAAAATAAAAAGTTATTAGACTTTTAAGAATGTGGATTTTTGGGTTATCTTTGGCGCCCCCTAGAATGTAAACCGTGGGGTGCAGCATCATTATTTGTACAACTTTTAATGGCCATGGGGTGTAGATTGGCCTGAGCAAATTTGGTGCCGGTGGAACGAAAGCCTTCAGAGGAGTTAGCGAAATTCCAATGTGTGCGGATCTGCAAAAAATGGGAAATAGCCCTTTAACGGTACATTTGACAGATACGCCCGCACTGACTTTTTTGTAGATCTTATTGAGATACACATGTGTGTCAAATTTTGTGTCATTTTGACAAAGCGTACAGGCGTCAGGTGAGTTTTCACCATAGGGGGCGCTATGGAGCCATTTTTCATTTTTTTGTTTGGGCGACTTCAGAATATCGAATTTTTCACCAGGCCCGGTCGTCCTGCCAAATTTCCTGAGTTTTCGCCAGTGGGAAGTGGGCCATTTTCCAGTTTAAAGCGGAGGAAAAATAACGAAAGAAGAATCCATCAGGAACAAGAGGGCTCTCGCAGCTGCTTAGCAGCTATGCTCGGGCCCTAATAATAACACTAGGGCCCCGTTGGGGCACTGGCGGGCCCGAGCCGTGTCGCGCCGCTCCCAGCGCGACCACCTACCCCTCCCGATTGCATCACACTAAAGGTCCAAAGATGGTGTGCGCACTTGTCTGTGGTCATTTACCATTATAATGAATGGGAGGCGCAGTTTCTACCAAAACGCTCGCTGCAGACAAACTCCATGTCCTTTTTGAAAAAAGTCTGGACCATGAGTGAGGGCACAAACACAGCTAGTATATACCCAAATGGCAAGGTGCTCCTCCTTTCGGTTTTGCCGAGAGAGCGATGAATTTGAGCCATTGAGCGATGGGCAGGAAAAACTTGACTTTTTCTCCTGCCATGGGGGGGCGCTCTTTTGGGGAAAAAAAAATTCCTTCACAAATGTGTTGATGACTGAACATTGCATCATCCTAGAAAACTTGGAGGCCAGTGAGGACAAAAATAAAGTTATAAGACTTTTAAAAATATGGATATTTGGGTCATCTTTGGCGCCCCCTAGAACGTAAACTGTGGGATGCAGCGTCATGATTTGTACAACTTTGAATGGCCATGGGGTGTAGATTGGCCTGAGCAAATTTGGTGTCAGTGGAACGAAAGCCTTAGGAGGAGTTAGCCACATTCCAATGTGTGCGAATCGGCAAAAAATGCGAAATAGCCCTTTAACTGTACATTTTACAGATACGCGCACATTGACTTTTTCGTAGATCTTATTGAGATACATGTGATTGTCAAATTTTGTGTCAATATGACAAAGCGTACAGGCGTGACACTCAACAATGTGTATATTCGCCTTAGGGGACAAGAAAAAATGGACTTTTTTCTCCTGCCATGGGGGGCGCTCTTTTGGCGAGTAAAAATTCCTTCACAAATGTGTTAATTGCTGGACATTGCATCATCCTAGAGAACTTGGAGGCCAGTGAGGACAAAAATAAAAAGTTATAAGACTTTTAAGACTGTGGATTTTTGGGTTATCTTTGGCGCCCCCTAGAACGTAAACCGTGGGGTGCAGCGTCATGATTTGTACAACTTTTAATGGCCATGGGGTGTAGATTGGCCTGAGCAAATGTGGTGCCGGTGGAACGAAAGCCTTCGGAGGAGTTAGCGAAATTCCAATGTGTGCGGATCGGCAAAAAATGCGAAATAACCCTTTAACCGTACATTTGACAGACACGCCCGTGCTGACTTTTTTGTAGATCTTATTGAGATACATGTGTGTGTCAAATTTTGTGTCATTTTGACAAAGCGTACAGGCGTGACAGTCAATAGTGTGAATTTTCACCTTAGGGGGCGCTATGGAGCCATTTTGCATTTTATTGTTTGGGCGACTTCAGAATATCGAATTTTTCACCAGGCCCGGTCGTCCTGTCAAATTTCATGAGTTTTCGCCAGTGGGAAGTGGGCCATTTTCCCCTTCAAAGGGGAGGAAAAATAAGAAGAAAGAAAGAAAGAAAGAAAGAAAGAAAGAAGAAAGAAAAACTCATCAGGAACAACAGGGCTCTCGCAGCTGCTTAGCAGCTACGCTCGGGCCCTAAAAAGAAGGAAACATGCAGGAACAAGAGGGCTCTCGCAGCTGCTTAGCAGCTACGCTCGGGCCCTAAAAAACCACTTGGGGAATAATAGGGCCTACGCCCGGCTGCTCTGCAGCTGGCTCGGGCCCTAAAGAAAGAAACAAAGAAAAACCACTTGGGGAATAATAGGGCCTACGCCCGGCTGCTCTGCAGCTGGCTCGGGCCCTAAAAAACAAACTCCGACAGTCGTCTGTACTTACAGATCCGTCGGTCAGTCAGTAAAGTGGTGAAGGTTATTCCAGGACTCAGCTCCAAACTTCCACACAGGAACAGAAACACTCCTGAAACCCTCTCGGATGTTGTCCGTGTGAACTCCACCGATCCGCGGATCACAATCCGGACCGAGAACTCCGACGAACGGGACTAAAACGGACTTAAACCGGTTTTAGTGACTTTAATAAAACCCGCGGGTGAGAGTCTGTGTGGTTTTTCCCGCTCTCCTCTTCATCCCTCCATCTTTGCTGCGTCCGAACTGCCCGCTCGGATACTACATGCTACTGCTACGTGCTACTGCTAGATCCTACTCCTACA